TTGTTGGAGGGATTGGTGTTTTTTCCTTTTTTGTTATTGTGAGCCACCCAGAGTCACCCATGGGTGGCATACAAGTTTAATAATTAATAAATACATAAATAAATGAATGAACATGGGTGGTTTTCCTAGAGGAAGAGAAGTGAAGAGACAGTATCTTCACCCAAGATCCAAGATGGGAAGGAGGGAGATGGCTGTCTGTGGTGAAGCCCTACTCTTTGGGGAAGGACTGGCCAGAAGACCCCAAGAGAGGTTCTTCCCCCAACAGAAAAGATGCAGATGGTAATCAGCTGAGCAGATCCAAGAAAAGATGACAAGCAAAACTGAGCACACTCAGTCATAAATCCAGCACATCCCTTTCTTTTTACTCTTTCTTGATAAGCCCAGAAATGGAAGGGAGATGGAGTGGAGGGGGATGCTTGGAAGCAGTTAGCAGGAGAGCTAGAGGGGAGTATTCTCTGGGAGAGAGACTTAGGTGGAGACATGGGGTAAAATCTGGGATCTTGAGGCTCTTACCTATTGTAAATAGATTTACTGTATATAGCAGAAAAGGCATGAAAACCTCCACTGTCTTGATTTCTCTGTGTCAGTTGCCATCCTTGCAAACCAAAATATACCTCCAGTTCTAAAAGAGAGCATGGGAACCCATTTCAGAAGGGATCCTCCCTAGTTTTCCAGAGAGTGAAAGGAAAGGAGGGAAGAAATACTTTAAGTCTTGCAAGATTCTGCTTATATAACCTTACAATAAAGATACTCCTGGTTGTGGTTCTTCTCTGAACTATCTTGAAGGGCTAACAATCTTTGATTCAGGGATTTGATCTATTGTTATGCCATCAGGGAAGTGGAAGCTTAATGTATATCATTGCTGAAGACTAGGTGCTCTGCTCACTGTTTCCACTGCATAGTTGGTACTCTTGGGCACTGAATACTTGAATAGGTTAATGTAAGTGAGCAGAATTGGTGGTGAAGAACTCCAAACAGCCCCAGCCAGCATACACACTGATGGCTGATAGTTGCATTTCAGCTAGACCTGAAAAACCATGAGGTCCCTCTCCTTGCACTGAAGAAAAAGAGCTTTTAGCCAAAATTAGTGACACTCTAAGTTGCTTTTTCTGGTTCTTCTATCTTCTTAGAGTTTTTGTTTGTTTCAATTTACAGTCTCTTGTATATTTAGGAATAAATTGCAAAAATGCTGTTAAGCTTCCAGCGTTCTCAATCAAAATAAACTAACCTTGGGTCAGGAGTTTAGTTTTCATTTCTCACACTTCAAGTGTAACTTTGAGATGCTTGCAAGAAAGTTTCTTAAACTTTCTTGCAAACCTCCCCCTCCCCAAAGAGATGTAAAGTGTTTAGTGAAGCTGGAAGAATAAATCCATGTGATACTTTGCTCTGGATGCTACTTTCCCAATCTTTTTTTCTGTGGTTCAGAAATTCAATAATACTCCCTTCTTCTCCCACACCAGGCAATTAAATGGAAAATATGTTTCATTTTGAAAAATAAGCAGCCTGTAACCTGCTTTTAAGCTGATGTTGCACTCTCAGTTTGGTGCTTACAGTCTAAGCAGGAGAATAAAAGCTTTCTCCCTCCTCTTCATGCATCCAGCACAGTTAAGAATTTAAAATGCACTATCACCAGCAATAGAGTTATATAGAATACATTTAAAAAAAAAATTCAGATGTTCTCTTGTGTGTCTTATATCCCCACTTCAGCAATTCAGCTAAATAGTTTAGTTGCACTAAACATGTAAACACCCATAAAAGCATGTAAAGAGACAGCATCAGGAGAAATAGGAAAGCAGGAGTTCCCGAATATTTTAGATTCATTCATATGAATTCACCATCCACAGGATGCCAAAGAAGCTGTTAGGGGTTTATCGGTCTCTGTACCACTTTCTTGTCAGAATCCCCAAGTTAGAAAATGAAGCAAAGTAAAATCGCAATAAAAGTGCTAATAAGAAAAAGGCAATGTTTTCTTTAAAACAATGAATTATGAACAAAGACGAATAACGAAGATCATTGTTCCCACGTACCTGCAATAAAAGTACACCAGCACAACATACAGATTTAGGTTAGGTCCCGCAAGGGTAGATGGGGGGATCTGATCAAGTCACATAAATAGCATGCACTAATAAGGACAAGGGTGGTGCCCAATGCACACCTTCTTCCAAACCATGTACTGATTAACTTGCCAGTAGGCAATTGACCAAGAAGTGAAATAATCACAGATGCCTACAGAAGTACATATGAACAGAGTTTCTCTGTGTGAGCAGTTCCTGGGTCAATCCTGTTTAGTCAAAGTGATCATGCCAAATATGAAAAAGATGTTACAAAAGCAATGTTTTTGATGCATTTTGTCGGAGGATATTGCCCATATCCCATTGCTTTAAGCCAGTGTTGTCCAAACTTGGCCACTAAGATGAGTGGAATTCTGGGAGTTGAAGTCCACTCATCTTAAAGTGGCCAAGTTTGGACAACACTGCTTTAAGCCTATGCACACATATACATGGAGACATATGCACACACATCCCTGAGGAATGCATGGATTGAAGGCTACATATTCATATTTAAACATCAATGTGTAGCCTTCAAGACCTAAGGACAGGAAACCTCTGGTCCTCTTGTTCCTACTGAATTACAGTTCCCAACAGCGTGTATCATATCAACATAGTCAATAATGATGGATTGTGGGACTGGAGGCCCAAAAGTTTCCCTTCCTCATGTTAAAAGGAACTTTCCACAAGGACACATTCTGAATGTGAGTATGATTACTAATAGGAACAGGGAGATATAAGAAAAGAAAGCTCATTTCCAGAGTTCTGAGTGTAAGGGAAACTGGAGAGGACTTATGAAGAGAACAATGAGGAAACTCTTCTCCTCTTGATCTAATGGACTAATTGATCCTTGCACTCATATGCAAGAAGAACTCAGTTGAAAATGACTAGGATATATGGTTTAACTGAAACCAATTTGACAGCTCTTGCCGATTTCACTGTCAAACTGCCAGAGAAATGAGAAAATCTGTATTAGCAAAAAGGGGGAAATTGCTTTTTAGAATCAGAAGCCTATGGATCTTGACTTAAAATAGGAACAGAATTATCTATTTATTTTGGATACTGTACTTAGTGGTTATATTGCCCAAATAATTAATTTAACATTACAAATCAATTGCTTAAAAACAGGGTATTCTAATACAATTGCTGTTACCATTGTCATTAGTGTTATGTTGTTAAGCTTCTCAATCATAGAGAAAAGGTGAAAAAAATAAAACTGGGGATGGATGGATGGACGGACAGACAGACAGACATTAGATTTCTTAGTTCCCATAGAGCTATTAAGCTTTGACCACGTAAATGGAAGGAATCAGTTTCTACCATATACAAAATCTGTCTCTCTTAACCAGCTTTTGCTAGGGTTTGGGAAAGTATCTTAAGGTAACTTTTTTTTGGGGGGGGGAGAATAATTCATCCTACAGATTAAAAAGTTAACTCTTCTTTAAGTACGGCTTGAATTTTTGTCTACATGGACATGTTTCCATGTTGTCTTCTTGGCAGCAACATGGAAGTAGTAATTACTCAGAGCTGTTGGGAGTCAGGATGATGATGATGGCCTTTTTTCAGAATGTGGGTGTGTGTTTTTAATTTATTTGGTTCAATTTTCCAATCCTACTTATAGCTCTGGGATTTGATTTCCTGGTGCTCTCCCATTCACCTACTCAATAGATCTGTCCTTGCTTAATAGTTCAGAATCAGCCAAGGTCAGCTAGGCATCATGAGCAAAATCAGCATATACTTAACAGCCACTAAATGTTCAAAAGAAGGTTTGGAACAGAGATTCTTCTTCCCTGCGAGTCAACAGAGAATAACTGGAATGCAATAGGAATATAACTTTAGAAATGAGGAGGATCTGAGACACAGTTAGAAAAGGAGTAGGAGGAAGGAAATGGAAATGGGCAAGAAAATTCATTAAGAATGTTTGTTAATTTAGAAAAAAAAAATCACCATATCAAAACGCTGTAGTCAGCCTACGATGCACAGATTATTGATCAAAACCATATGTTAACCTCATCACTGATAAACTAACATTTCCATCCCTTACCCAAGGCAATCCCACAATTATTTCACACCCACACTCTCCATAAGTGTATTCTGTGTCCCTTCTTCATCAATATAACACATAATATTTCTCCACTTCTCTCTCTAATTAGGAAAAGCTGGTTTTATGATAAAAGATCACAGACTCTCCATAACATAACAGTTTTGTAGGTGCTATCTCCAAGTCTACTTAGTTTATATTCAAATTAATGTAGACTTGGGGGTTAATATTCAGCTAAAAGCTACACACGCATACACACACAATCATTCTGAGATTGCACAGTAGAATCAGCTGTTGCTTTCATCTTTTGCTTGAGAAAGTTTGATTTACATAATGTTGTAACTTCACTATTTATTACAGTATTTCTTTCAGAAGGCAACCTTATACCTACAAAGGAAGAGTATGCTACAATACAGGATATCAGCTACGATGATGCTCATTACAAAGACGTAAAGAAGCAGTCACTAGAGATCTCCATGCCCTTCTAAAAAGACCCAGATTATTCATTATGGCATAAAATCCAGTCCCCTTAACAAAACAAGAATTAACCTGCAGGTATCCACAGTGTTCAAACATTATTCAATATCGTTTTCATTAAAAAAAAGTCTTTTTTTTATATATAGTTGTACTGCAGTTGATCATTTAACTCTCTCATATCAACAGGACTAAATCACCATGAGTGCACTGGAGTGTTTATCATTGTTACAAAAATGAATCCAGCATGGATTTGCACACCTTTGCGCCAGTTGTGCTCATTCCTGGACCAGGAGGCTCTGCTCACTGTCACTCATGTTTTCATGACCTCCTGTATGGATTACTATAACAGGGTCTACATGGGACTGCCCTTGAAGAGCATTAAGAAGCTTCAACTGGTGCAGAACGCAGCTGCATGGGTTTTAAATGGTGTTGGGTATTGGGCATGTGTAACAACCACTGCTTTGTGAGATGCATTGGTTGCCAGTATGTTTCCAGGTACAATTCAAGGTGTTGGTTGGCACCTTTAAAGCCCTTCATGACTTGGGGCTGGGTTACCTGAGGGACCATCTTCCCCAGTTGTTTCTATCCATCCAATTTGGTCCAGCAGGATGGGCGTGCTCCAGGTCCTATCAGCCAAGGAATGTCAGCTGGCAGAGACTAGGAGGCATGTCTTTTCTGCCATAGCACCTCCCCTCTGGAACATTCTTCCTCCAGACGCCCTGACCCTGTGGGCCTTTCGTAAGGCCTTGAAGATCTGATTATGCCTGGGGTCCCGAGTGTGTTAAAAGCCACATTTCCCGGTTATGTTAACATCTATGGGTTGCAGTTTTCTTGGCTGCTATATATATTTAATTTGTTTTTGTATTGTATTGAGTTTGTGATTTGGTTTTAACTGATTTTATGATTGCTCACTGCCCAGAGTAATTTGTTTGAGATTGGCGGCCATATAAATTGAATAAACAAATGAGAACATCCTGAGTGCATTTTGGGATTATGTAGTGGGGTAGTGTCATGGAACCAGGATTTTATTCATAGATCCTATCTAATGACTATTTGGAGTTCTAAGAGATGGTCACAAGCATGAGAATCACTTTGCAACACAGTCCATGGTTAGGGATACCAAAAAGGTAAACCCACTCTTTCTCCATGTTCAGTAGTCCCTGAAACAAATGTCTATGTTTCAGATGTTAATGATTTAACTCACAAGGTTGGCTGAACTTCCATGCTTTTCCTCTCTCTTCCCCCAACCTGCCTGTTGAGATAAAAGTGAGAGCTCCCACAGAAAACTATAAGGGATTGAAACTGTTAGCATTGCCTTAAGTGCACCCAACCCAAAGGTAAGAATTGCATTCTGTTATTTGGTAACAGCACAAAATTCTCCTCCTAAACAATAAAATTTTATTTTGGTATTCTCAGCATGGGTTTTGTAAACTCTAGGGACTCTTAAAAAAAAAAAAAATGCAGAATGTATGCCAGGATACCCAAGGTAAAGATGATGTCTCCTTTGAGTTGAGCTAGATTCATGTAATTTTCTTGGCAACATATTGTGCTTTTCCATTGCCTTCTTCCAGGAGATAGATATAGACAGACAGACAGATACACATACATATTCCAGTTTCCAAATTTTGTCTATAGATTTCTCATCCAAAGACTAACTGCTGAGCTTTGATGAAATCAGTCAAAGTTAGCTAGGTGGTGCCATCTGCTGTGTTGCTATAATACTGGTTCACCATTTTGAGAGGAGGAGCCGGTTTGCTGTAAGAGGGAGCAATATAAAATAAAAATATCCCTAATATAAAAGCAGAATTCAGAGAAGCATCTAAACTGTCCCTCAGCAATGAAAAGGATTCTAGAGCCTCCTCTCAGGTCCATCCATCCAAATGGAAACCATCAAATCTCAGATTCAGTTCCTACTCCAGCATGCAATATGATTGTGATATTACTGATCCATATTTTAGGGCCTGTAGTAAGGATACTTGAGATAATACGTAAAGCCCTCTGAGCCAATATACATTCCCACATAGCTGATCTTGTTAATTATGCAAGAATTATTTCCCATGGTATGCCAATCTTTCTTCTAATCTTCTTCAAGCACTGCTGCTGTCCCATATGCTTCTTTGACTTTAAATACCACAGAATTCTCACTGTTTAATAAATATTTCAGCTACGATGGCAAAATAGCAATCAATAGAATAAGGAGCATAATTTCCATGATATTCCTTGAGGTCAGCCATTTTGCCTTAACTATCCCACAAGTAATTCCATCTGAACAGTTTAAATGCCTTGTAATGGTCTCATTTCCAAACATCAAGAATTTGCCGAAGCTCATTTCTTTTTAATGAGATGGTAGAGATATTACATGCTGTTATCATTTTTTAAATGCTATGATGTAAAGGGTAATGACAGATTTGTGTTCAGCTGGAACAATCCTTTTTTTTTTTTTTTAAGAAACTTGTAAAAGCACATACAAGACAACTGAAGATCTCCCTAATTCCATGTGGATGTTAGCCAGCCAATAACTT